GCCCTCAGGCATAGGAGGGTGCCCCGGCGACGGCCCTGAGCAGAGTCCCGCTGCTTCGGCGGAGCGCTCGAGCGGCGTTTCGCGGCCGGGCCGCGGAGGGAAGGAAGGGGGGCCGCGGAGCCGGGACCCGCGCGGCATCCAGCGGCAACGTCGGGCATTAGCAGCCTGAAGGGGAAGCCGTAGAGGTGAAAAGGGAATTTCCTCCAGCAGTGCGCCGTGGCTGTGTTAGAACTGCGCATAACCGGTGCCGGGACATCAGCTGAGCGCCAAGGCCGCACGTCCTCTGCGCGAGGTTCCCGAATCCTTGGAGACTCGCCTTTATTTTAACTGAAAATTAAGTCCGGCAATACGTATCCAGTTAAAACAGCTGGTTTCTGATGTGTCTGGTTCAAATTAAATGATGAGCTATTCGTTCCTCTGTGGCCACAACACTTTTTGATCTTTATTCATTACTTACCCCAAAATACAGTGCTAGTAGCAACTTTTGTTTAGTCTGGAAGACATTGGTCAAACTATTTCATGAGGTGGCTAAGGTTTCTGGCATTGTTTTCCTCCAGTTTAGGGGCTATTGGCAACTTTTCTGACTAATATTTTTGGAAGACAGTAGTCTGGGTGTTTAAACTTGGATAGCTAAAGCTAGGGGTCTAAGCAGACAGATTAAGCGTGTAGTTTACTTGTTGATCAAACTGTTATAGAGGGTGAGCATAATATTATTGCTTTGTTTTTAATATACACAGTTGACCTGAAAAGATTATTGTATCTTTAACATATTTTGTTTTGAGGTAGCCAGCTTTGGAATATAAAAATCACCGTTTCTTGTAATTGCATTAAGTTACTCTCTTTAGAAGGAGCCTTTCAAATCATTATTTTATTCTCCAGATAGCAGATTACAGTCTCACCTGAACTGGAGGGAAAGTGAATGAAAGCCCTGAGTGTATTCCATAATAGGCCTAATGGTCTGCTAGCAGATAAAAGTTGGCAGCTTCCACCTATGAATATCACTTCCCCTCCCTCTCCTTTTTCTTAAAAACTGATGCTGATTTTATGTCACGCTTATCTGACAATGTTCACAGGCAAAAAAAGGATAACAATGAGCACGAAGTAACAGGAGAGATTTGGAAAGAAGAATGGGACAGAAAGAAACAAGCACTTCATTTAAATCAGTTTTTTAAGAACAAATCATTCTAGGCAGGACCAAGCACTATTAATATCACCCTGGTCTCAGGATAGAGTTATTATTACAGCTTAGGATACATTTGCCTTTGTGATTGGTCTTTGTTTAAGTACACAAGTACTTTTGAGAGGTACTCTCAGTGAGACAGTGATGCATTATTTTTGCAGCATTTTGATGGAGGAAAACATTTTAAAATCAGTGGTTGCATTAATCTGTTTCAGACATCCTCCTTCATAGTATGGTGTAAGTAGTCCTTAGTATGTCAGTAAGTAATGTTATATATATATATTATCAATCAGTCTTTTAACTGCTTCCTGATAAGGTCAGTCCTTCTTTTCAGTTTCCCGTATTCCAAGTATTTTACCTTCAGTCCTCGAATTAAAATTCTCTATTCTGGGAGCACTGCATTGCACTACCCCCATAGTTATCTTAACTAGCCAAGTGTTACCTCTGGTTATGCAAAACTGGGCAGACATCAACACTGTTTTATGGTTGACTGAAGGAGCAAAGCACAGATAGCCTGCAAGACACATCCAGAAATCTCCAGATGGGCAAGACTGACTACTACTTGTTAAGGGGAGGCAGTGAGCTCCAAGAGCAGCTCCCAGGCGGAATAACCCCTGAGTCCCATACCTAGTGACATAAATAGGCCACGCTGATCAGTTTCAGCGTGATCCGGCAGAGTCCTTACCTTGTCCCGCTGCCAAGAATTCATAGTATCAAGCAGCCCTTGTGCCGGCACGGTCCTGTTCAATCCTAGGAGGTAGCCACAACATGGAAGGCAACTTTAAGTGCTTTTGAAGCTCACAAATCTAAATTGTTTTGTAGCATATTCATAATAACAAAGCTGCACGCAGACTACTGGTAGTGCAGCAGGTAGGAAGGGAAGCACATGATTCCCTACCATGTCCTGACCTCAGGAAGAGAGCTTAACTATACCCACCTGGGAGAACTGCTTTTTAAGAGGAGCTGGCAGTACAAGGGCCAGTACTGGCCTTGTGGAGATTGGCAATGTACATGCTCCAGCTTTAGAACATGTCCTTTCCAAGTTGCCGGCTTTCCTAACTTCCAACTATCCAGTGGGTTACCATCTTAAGTCATCACAAGTTTTGAAGGAGTAGGTGGTTGGTAAATAAATACAAAAGCTACGAGGAAAATAAAATACAAACCTCAGTTTTCGCTTACAGTCAGTAGAAGATACATCCTTAGTTGTTTTAGAGCATCTCAACTAACATCCTTAGGGAAGGGAAACAGCTGGGAAAACGAGGGCCCGATTTTTACAGAACAACCTTATTCTCTGATAACTAGCATGCAATTCTGGGTGGAAAGTAAGTGGGAAGGCTTGCAGGAAGAACATGGAGTCCTAAAGTTAGACACAAGAAATTAGATTTCATCATCTATTCCTGCAATTTAGGAGAATCTGTCTGGTCATTTGTCAGCAACATTCAGCACCACTCAGAATTGATAGCAACCTGTTCTGTTAGATATGACACTTTCTCCCTGTCAAGTTTTAGAAAGAAAAAAGTGGGTGAAGAAACTCCCAAACCTGATAAAGGCAAAGCATTCTGCAGATCTGTGCTTAGCTGTAGAGGCAGATCTTGCCACAGCAAGAAAAGCAAAACAGGGAAACTTGTTTATGATTTTGTTAATATCATTCCACTGACTGCTATACAGGCTATTGGTTCATGTAATCTTGAGAGTTGTTGGCTCCAAGAACACTAATGGCATTATGCATTAACTGTGTTACATACAGAAAAAATGGCATATGCTGCAAAATTGGGTGCTTCTAAACATGTAACAATGTCTCATGATACAAAAAGTACCTTACATATCTTTTATACTTACTTTCTACAACAAAAATGGCCATGTCTGTATCAGTGGTGTAATTTACTCTTCCAGATCTAAGTCAAAAAGAATAGAAAGCAACAATGTCTGTTATTTGTAGATGGACAAGTTCCCACTGTGGGTGCAAGGGCAGGAACCCTTTTTTTAAACTCCTCTGTGTATAGGAGTGTGTAGTCACCTGTCATTCAGGCCAGTATTGACAGATTTCTCAGAATCCCTTTCCATCTGCTCGCAGCACATACAGGCCCTGATAAACCCACCCTGAAACTAGTATTTGTATGCTGAATAATGTTGAAGTACACTGTGCTAGCTCAGGGGAGCAAAATTAACTTCTTTACCTAGCTGTTTTTTTTCTCCTGCAGCAGACGGAAAAGGAGAGAAAATGACATGAAACCTGGCAAGCAGTAGCAGATTCTAGGGGCAAATAAAAAAGTGCTTATGGGAGCAGTAGAACAGAGAAACTGAGAAAAGGCCGGGGAGCTCTGACAGGTAGGACAGAGAGGGGACATTTATTGTAATTTCTGCTTCAAAGGGAGATCAGAGAACACAGTCCTCTAGCCCTCCTTTATTATTTATTGGGAATATAGAACAGAGGATCTTCCCTGTCATCTTCCTTCCAGTACTGCTGTGTGCAGAAGGTAGAGAATGGACAGGTGCACTAGAGATAAACTGGTAACATTCTTGTGCACAGGGGAGGTGACAAGATACAGATGACTTGCTCAGAAGCGTAACATTTAAGCAAACAGCCGTATTACTGTGATTGTACTATCCTGTTCATTTGTTGTGGGTTTTTTTTCCTTTTAGTAATTGAAGGCCGTACATCTAGAGAGGTGCCAAGACCAGAAAGGGAGTGCAAGTTTGTAAATGCATGTCACATGCAAGAGACTGCTAGAGATGACTCAAGTAAACAGAACTTGTCTTCAAAGCTACTACTAGATTTCTGGAGATGTATCAGTAAGAAGGTTAAACAGATCCTCAACAGTTGTTTTCATGCTATTTAATCCTAGAATAACCCCATTTCTATGAAGTTCACAAGAATTCTGTTCCTAATTCATATGGGGTAACAAGTAAAAACCTGTGTTATCCCAAGCTCTGGATCTCCTACTGTGTCTCTTTACATGTCTCATTTTTGTTTCACTCTGGCACAAAAAAAACAAACTAACACTAAATTTCTTGTTAGCATAATTAAAAAAAAAAAAAAAAAACAGGATTGAAACATATCTGATGTCAAATGAGTATGATCACTAACAATGAAAATAGTAACAGCTAGGTTCCAAGAAGCAGCATGATAGGCACCGAGAGTAAGAAGAATTTAAATAGCTGTATACAAATCTAAACTCTTTAAAAAATCCTTTTTATTGATTCATTACCATACAAAATTTATTCAAATTACATCCATTTGAAGTGGTAAGATCACAGCTAGAGAACAGGTCATCCTTTAATAAATCTATTTACAAAACTCGCCATAAAAGCTTTTTTGGGGTATTTTTTTGTTTGTTATTTTTTTTACAGTATTTTACAGAGGTTTTTTTTTTTTTAAACTAGCACACAATGCAAAGCTAAATTAGATTAGTATTTTGCCCACACACATTGGGACAAGTGTTTAATTTGTACAAAAAAGATGGTCTACGTTAGTCTTCATTTTCTCTTCCCCCGCAAAAGTGCCCCTTTGTCTCGCAAATCAGGCTCACACAACTTTTACTTTCCTCTTCCACAAGACAAAAACTTTAAATACTACAATTTTATTTACAGATCCACATCTAAAAAAACTCTTAAAAAATTACAAACCAGCTAGAAAATATTCTGGCAGTGTTTACAAATTAATTCTATTGTACAAAACTGCTAGATAACTAAAGTGTGAGTTGAGAACATATATCAACTTAAATACAACTGCTGAATGATCTATGCACACATTTGTACATATAAACACACACTTAACACTGTTTAACAGTTCTTTATGTGTTGCCCTTTATACATTTGTTATATTCCAAAACTCACACAGTCATACAGTTTCCTTATTAGTACTGTGACTTCTTGCCTTTTCATGTGTGAGCTTTCATAGCAGCAACTCAATGGTACCAGAAAACCTGCATCCATAATATTCTACTACAGTACAAATAGTACTAATTTTCTGAGTATGTCAGATAAGCACAACAGTAATGCAAACAAAAGGATTACATGGGCATCATCTAATCAACATTACATTAATTTAGCCCAGAACATGGCAACATATTTTACACTCAAAAAAAAAATTATTTAAGACTTCTTAGAATTCCTCTCACGTTCAAAAAAATAAATATTGGTACTATACTATACTACCAAAGATCTTCAAAAAATAAATGCAATTCAGTTGATGTGGTACTTACAGTTATGTACTTTGGAAAAAAATTAGTTCCATTTTGCTGGCGAAGAGAATTATAAAAAGCTGTAAGCAGAGGAAGCTAACCCACCGAGATAAATATGATATATTGAGCAAACAAAGCTTGACATAAGTGTTTTCCATAGAGGGAAAAACCCACAGTGCATCTCTAGTAGGCACTTAACACAAAGCCCCACTTAGTACCACAAAAATTTATGTACCAGTTCTAATGCACACTGGGGGCAGTAAAATTGAACTGTGCATCTTCTTTCTAGTTTAAAAAAACAACCAAACAAAAACTACTTTCACACACACACACACACACACACACACACACACACACAAGCATTTTTAAAAATCTGATTACTACAAGAAGTGGCAGAACTTTATACTTTTCCATATTTGCAATATACACTACATTTACAGTGTATTTTATTAAAAGCTTTTAAGGACATAAGTATTTGACCTCATAATGAGACATATACACAGCTCAAAATGAGCATTATGACAGCAATTTAAACATTCCCACAAGTAGCTGAAGAATCCCATTTCACACTTTTGCATTACTTCATATTTATGTTCACTGCAGGTACAATCCATGTTGTGACACTCAAAAGACATGCATTCTCTGCAGAAGGCACGACCTGAAATACTATTATGAAACTGTTACTTAGGACTAAACCAGTTCATCGAGCCCTTCTCCATAAGCCCACTTTGTCACGGTAAGCAGAGACTGGGGGAGTGTGAAGAGAAAACGTTTATGGTCACCTGCTTGTACTTGCTGACTCACAAGGCGCTGGAGCTCAGGGTTAAGGAGAAGGCCTTGCTGTAAAAGCCTTCACTTGTTTTATAGTATTTTAGGGAGTAATTAATTAAAACATCAGTACTGTTCAAGAGCCTACTTAATAATGCTATTTTATAGTAATTAGGGGACAACTGAATGACGGCAGGTTTTTTGATGCCATTAAAAACGTGATTTAGATATGGACAGCATTTAAGGGAATCAGCTGTATATAAATTCATCCACCAATGAAGGAAGCTTCTCTAAATCATAAGCATCAAAGAGGTCACTGATGCCTTCTTCATCCCCAAGGCTCAGCAAATAATCTTCCTGAAGCAGAGGAGGCAGCAAATTCACAAATGGTCCTTCAAAGTTTGAGGGAATTTGGTCCTCGGTCTGCTGTAGAAGGTTGGCTGGGGAAGCCAATGGAGAGATTGTTGCCATATTTACTGAGCAGTCACCTTGTCCTGAGTTAGCAGAAGCCACTTCTGTAAGAGAAAGGAGAGGAAAAAGTAAAAGATGACATTTAATCTCATTAGAAATATCAGACACAGATCAAACAAAGTAGCCACTGCAAAAAGGGCCTTTCATAAAGCATCATTTCAACAAAAAATGGCTTCCATATAATTTCCATCTCGTTTTTGATGTGTTACAAAGGGCTTCTCAAAAATGTTCATGTTGCTATCACCACCAACTTTTCTACTAAAATATTATTTTATAAGGTTTAAACAGCTACTGGAGGGTGGTGTGGTGTGTGAAATAAAATTCAATCAAGTATAGTGAGAGATGTCCATTTTTCAGTGGAATTCAGTCAAAGGGAAAACTTTCTAGGCAACACATGTCATTGGTAACATTGTGTAGCCGCATATACCCATACACAGAAATTTCTGCCTCTTTTGTTGAGGCCAATCTTTGCTGCTAATGTTCTATTTGAAAACACAAAAGGAACAAAATTGTTTCTTTCTTCAATATTGCATAAGCTTTGTTTACATATGATATGCAAACAGGAAACTTATTTTAAACAACTGATGCAGAGGAAAACATATTTCCCACTAAATATAAGCCAGAAAGGCACAGTGGAAAAATCAATACCTTAGCTTTTCACTTCTTAGAAAAATAAAGCCGAAAAGTAAGAGCTGGATAACCAAAGTTCAAAATGAAATCTTGAACGAGAAGGTGAAGGAAGGGCATTAGTATTACAAAGAAACAATTTTACCTTTGGAAATGGTTTTGGAAATGTTTCCATTGTGATCCTGACTATAGGTTTTCATTGGACTGAGGGCATCGTTTTCCTCTGGGCACAGATAAACTTCAATAGGTCCTTGAGTACTGGATAAATGTATCAATGCACTCTGCTAACAAAACAAACATCATTAAGGTGTCATACCAATGAACACAACAGAATATTGACAATACAGAGTAAACTCTTATTAGCATGTGAGCATTTGAACACATTTTTATTAATCAAGAGAACCTGAAATCCCCCATGCATTTTTTGGAAGATGTGAAAGGCTTGGCTGATGTATCTTGCAGACTGGAAGAAAACATAAAAGCTTTTCCCACGGTATGTAGCACACGAATCTCAGAAGCCTACCATTTTATGTGTGGTATTGTAACCAGAGGCATAAAGGATTGGACTCCTAACAATTTCTTACAACCACAATAACCTGGAGGGTTTTGATGAAATGGAGCTATGCAATGGAAGTCACAGGTTTTATTATTATTCGTAACAATATTACCGGATGCATTTGTGTAAATGTTTCTGCTTTAAAAGGATACCAAAACATCTTTCCCACTCCCCCACACACCTTCAGCACTTACACTGAACTCAAATAGCTATACATAAGTTTACCTGTTTATCACGGAAGTTTTTCAAAATAACAAAAAAAGAAAAACAGATGCCATTTTCTTCACCAAAACTTGTTTATATGTCCTTCTGCCCCCTCAAGGCAGCAATTTTGATGGTGGTTCTGAATAACAGGAACTCTTAATTTGTCACAAGAAGTTATGTTCTTAACTTTCGCACATCGATGCAATAAAAAAGTTGACATATATAGACGCAGAAAATCTGCAAGGTTGCTCTTTGTGTTATGATGGAAAAATCATAAATGACTCTGGTTACAAATAAACCCGCTCCAGCTGTATTGCATTAATAGTTTTAAAAAGCATGAACGCAGGCATTCTATACCTCTTTGCAGACTTATTTCAAATATATTTTATTGTTCCCTTGGATAAAAAATTTCATATTACTTGTATTCTCACAGTTATGTAACATAATAGACAGTGTTTACAAATACAGAGAACAACTGAACAGGGATTCCCCAGGGCAGAGAAAACAGTTAAGACTACTTAGGGCAATGCTGTAATTAGAAAAAAGGAGATGGGAAGAGCAGGAATTAGAGAAGGTACTGTTGAGTGACTGAGGAATGCAAAAAAACCACTGAAATGTAACAGCAAATGAGAGAAAGGAATAGGACTTTATTGCCTGAAGCTGAAAATTAAATTGTAAATTGGGTAGAGGGGATAAGGGCGGTCTAGGTGCTAGTTTTAGTGATTGTGTGCACCTCTACCTGCTTGATTTCACTGAATTAAAAATCAAAGCATAACACCAAAGGGAAAGAAACAGGAAAGCAAGCAACAGTAACAGCATATATTTATGGATACTGATAAAAGATATCCTTCTTCATTGCAGCAAAATGTTTTATTCTTCTAAAACCTGCACCTAAGTTCAAACAGAAAATTAAGGACAAAGATAGAAAAAAAAATAAAAAGGATGGAAACGGTAATGGGCCTAAGAACATGAAGACTAATCTCAGGAAAAGAAGTGACAGGGAATGCAGGAAGCCCTGGGCTCACTGGAACCCACCCACTGGTAAGGATGAAAGAATAATGCAGAGATATGAACACAACACAGAGGAGTTGGGGAGTTAGCCCTATCTCTAATTGTTCCATGAAATTAGGTACATTTCTTGAAGCTCTAAAGCAGTGGCTTGTGCAAATTATTTATGTTTGTCCAACATACTTGGGTCTGTCATAACAATTGGGAATTGTAAAGCACCACACGATTGCTACCAAGAAATAAAATTCCAGGAGCAACTGAACCATGTGGTTCATAAATCATGAGAGGAATGAAGAAAAGTAAAGCTACTCCCTGAGGATACCATCAAAGAAAAGCCACCTGAAGCATTTTTCTCTGCAATTGTGACATAGGTAAAGGAAGCAGCTACATTACCCTAGACATCTACCTGAGATAAGGAAAAGAAAAAAGGGGAAAAAAAGAATGAGCCAGACATCTCTCATACAAAAGTCAGCACTCAGAGACTGTGGCTTGCAGAGCAAAGAACAACAGAAGAAGGAAAGAAATGAACACAGACATCTTCAGAAAGAGAAGTACTTATAATAAAATAGGAAAGGACATCCCTATGCCCTACAGACTTCATGATAGCAAACAAAAAGTACACTAGCAGAATATAAAAAGTTTTACACAGATGAGTAAAATCAGTGTCAATGAAGCAAAAATGATGATGGAAGAATGAAGGGCAAGAATGGATTCTAGGAGTAAAACATAAGTTTCCACAATAACTGTAATACCTCAGAACAGAAAATCCTACATGAAAACATATCTCAATAAATTAGGCTATCGGTAAGCATCAAGTTGCTTAAGGCACTGAGTTAGCCATGAAATTTAAAACTACATAGACTTAAAGAGACCTGAATGTCTTAAGAGCAAGATTTTATGTGGTTACAAACAGGAAATTTCAACTGTCAAGGAAGAGCTCTTCTTCACATAAAGTAGGGCAAAAGACAGTATTTGTAAATAGTGTGGATTACTCTGAAGGAAAGCTGGAATTGAGAGAAAAAAAGCAATAAATAATGATTGCCCTGTGTAAACTTATTTTTGAAGTTTCCCCTTGCTATCTAACAAACCCACCCCCCCCCATCTTTAAAGTTTGTAAAACAGATGAATATAGGACTGTATGCCAATAAATCCTACTTGGGCATCAGTTACCACAGTAAGATTCACAACACACTTGCTCCATCTATAGCAAATCGATGCATAACCTAAGCAAGAAACAGCAGGTTCTCCTTACCTCCACTGGGTCAGGCACTTCAAGTCTTGTTTCTGGAGGAGCTTTCACAACTATAACAGTTTGGTCTTTAAGGCCACTAATTTTTCGAATATCTTGATATGTCACATAAGCTAATGTAATCACTGTTAAGGAATTTTCCAACCCAGGTTACAACATATTCGACTATTAGAAGAGGCAGAAGTCTATTGTTCCATTTTATCATGGCTACTTCACTCTTAGCAAAAAGTCTTCTGTTCTCTACACTGGTGGAGATTGTAGTGAAACTCTGTGAGAACTTCTCTTAGATATAACAGCTGGGGCCACTACTGAGTGACAAAAGGGATTCTCCATGCTGAGCACTTCTCTCTCCTCTCCTTTATATGCATAAATCTACCCAAGCTAAAGCTCCACAACCTGAAAATACTCACAGACTCTGCAAAGCAAAATTTTTTACACACTTGCTAGCAAAATGCAGAGAACTAGAAGTCACAGAAAAAAATGTAAACGAATTTACAGGTGCATGTTATAGATGTGTATACACAATGTAACTTTGAAGTCACCAAAAATCATAATTTCAGTTTTCATTTGAGGGGGTTTTGTAATCATCTATACAACATGTATAAACGCATAACATTTATAAAACATAAATATATTATTTCAAAAACCTGTTTAATTTACTTTAAGCTTGACAGTGCAGAAGGTCAATTTTTGCATAAGCACTGAATTAATATTAATATTTTGCTGTTCAGTATGAATTTGTCCAAATCAACATGAGTGTTTTAGTGGGTTACTTCATGGTGGCACCTCACATACAGACGCACGTAACCAAGATGTTGCAGTGCTTTTGGTTGCAAAAAAAACCCGTGAAACAGCCACAGTCACATGCAACCAATTCCAGATCTTTAGTTTTCTAGTGAGGTATGTAGCCTAATGTTGATACCACAGAAATAAAAACTCTGATTTATTATTATACTTTTTGGGGGTGTAAGTGCAAACAATTTTGGTAAATGCACACTGTTACGATGCAGTAACATGCAAGACAGACTGCCTAGGCTCAAAACACCAATGTATTTCACACCTAACTTGGACCAAACAGGTCAAGAGGTAAAACAACAGGTCAGCTTTCACACAAATGGCTTTTATCACGGCTTTTAACGCTTGTTTAGTAAGGTTTGAAAAGGCAGAATACAAATTATAGCAACAGTGGCTATTGCTAATAGCAATGCTATATGAACAAAGGAAAAGATTGCATGGATTTCAGATAAAACAACAACAATCTTTATTGCTGTAGCTAAAGGCTCCTCTTGCTGGGCATATCCCAAAACATTTAAGGTAGCAATCAATTACTTTCTGATTCTATTTATAAAGGAAACAAGGAAGCACGCTACCTAATCTTGATTGAAAAAAAAAAAAAAAAGCCTTCAAAAGCAGAAGCTGTGTCTTCATCAATTAAGCAAAGGAAGAAGCTTCTCATCTCTGAGTATTCAGCAGGTCAGACTTCAGTAAAGTGAGGGAAAGGCAGTACTGGGATGAACTCAGAGTCAGTCCCGGGTTTCACACTTCTTCATTCCTTCCTCAGTAATCACCAGTATAATCAGTAAACTTAGTGTCACAAAAGGATTTGGGGAATACGCTCTCCTAAATCCAAAAGCATAAGGCCAACATGCTGCTAATGCTGATCCCTCCTTATACATCCCCATGGGAGCCAGCAACGGCAGGGCAGGGATCAGCAAGAATCAGCACTAGAGAAGCAGAATCATAATGCTCAGTTTTGTCTTGCTTAAATCTCTTCAAGGATCAAGCTCTTAGTTGAAGGCAGTGCTTACCCTACTCCCTTGGTGCCACTTGGTGATCTTTGCTTACATCTCAAATGTGTATGAAAGCTAGTCAAAACACAATATTTACATACTTCACATACTTTTTACTGACCCTATCCTAGTTATTTCCTATACCTCAGAACAGAGAATAAGTCCATTTTATTAGATGCTCTTTAAGAACTACATAAAGAAATGTTTCCACATCAGCATTTAATAAAATGCTTTCTTCTGTTGCTAACAGGTGGGAAATCTAGTGAAAATGTGAATTGGTTAATTACAAGGGCTATTAACAGCCAAAATACCAACTGTCGTATAAATCTTATGCAACTGAGCATTACCGTTACATTAAATAATTCAGTCTAAAATATTTTGAGAGCCCATAAAACATTTATCTATGATATTCTATTATAGATTCTCTAACCAGAGGAATCTGAAAATTTGTTGCAAGTTTCAGACTGTCTCCCAACTTTATTTTCCTCCCCATGCCTGTAATTTATATACACATCAGTTCAAAGAAAAAAAAAAAAAAAAAGTAATGAGTACACACACACACACACACACACACAGACACACCTCTGTTACCAAGGCATGCAAAGTCTTCACAATGGTAATTTCTGCACACATACAACCAGGGTTTGCTCTAGGCTCAAAAGAGTTGAAAAAGCACCAGGTTGTTGGAGGTTATCACTCAATCAGCTAGATTGTTGGTTCTACTCTATGTGAACACAGATGTTAACGGGCTCCTGTATATGCCACTTTTTTTTTTTTTTTTTTTTTTTTTTTTTTTTTTTTTTTTTTTTTTTACACATTCCAGAAGCATTACAGGTCCAAGTGGCTTAAGTAACTTTTTTACAGAACTACATTAACACCCATTAGCCAACTTCTTGAAATTTCTGATGCTTTGTATCACAATATAGAGAGGAATTCTCCTAGTATTACAGGGCACAAAGAAACTGACCACCTCTGAGGTTTTGGGAAAAAGGATATCTCTGATTCTCTGAGTCCTCCGTTAGCAGCTTGAGGTCCAGGGTGCAGCTTTGGATTAGCTCATCCAGTTTCTTCTCTTCCTGAGTCAGTTCGGTCACCTCCTTCGTGAGGCCCTGACGCTGTGCCAACATGCCACCATCCTCTGATAGACTGCAGCCCCTATAGATGTAAAGTCAACAGACACCCTTTCAGCATTTGTAAAACTCGACCCTATGCTGTGGGAAAGGGAAGAGGCAAGGTTTTACACTGCAGATCAAGTTCTTAGCCCCTTCTTCCTAAACCTGCCCATAGCAAGTCAACATTAGAAGATGCTTTTTCTGCAATGTGTAATTTGCATGACAACACATTTTGGAACTGCTATCGAGATGGAAAAGTTGAATATTTCTAAGCACTTCCCAAACCTTGCTTCTAGCTCCCCTCCCCTCTAAACACATCCTATAAAAGACTGAGGAAGGCAGTAGGTAGAGATGTGTACTTAAAAACTTACTCTTCTTGCAGAAGCAAATGAGTTAAATCAGTATTCAAACAAAATGCTGGTTTCTAATTTCCCCGACAAATGCTATTTCTACACCCAAAACCTGCCTTAACAGAAAAAAAAAGCTTTATCCTGATGGAAGGCATTTTGGATGATTGCTTGGAGTAAAGTGTTAGAATGGAAGGTGGGAAAAGAAAAATACTGCTGCTCTGAAATCAGCGAGGAGGAATGGAAAAAGGATAATGAATACTCACATCCACTGAATGTTGTTTTTGGATTTTTTCTTAATGAGATGGATGCCTTCCAGTACATTGGTGATATCATAAATCCTCCTTTTTTGCACCTTGAGGACCTCTGCCGCTCTGTTCAAATCTAAGACCCCATCAGGAGATTGGCTCAGCAACTGAATGAACTTCTTTGTAAGAAGGCCAAGTGACGTATCATACCGAGTCTTTTCTGAAGGAGATTTTGGAGCTTGGAAAGAAAAAAAAAAAAACAAAAAACCCCAGACAAATCAGTTTTTTCTCATTTTGGTTCCAAAAGCAGCATCCAGAAATTCAAGGATGCATATTACAGATATTTCTTTCATTTTTACTGAAGAAATCTCTCAAACCTCTGCATTAAGACACAATTTACCACTGGGTATTTATTTGTATTTCAAGATGTACTTTTCCAAAAGTCACAGGTACATGAGCAAATACATGCTTTTTTAAAATGCAAATATTTCCATTAGTCTGACAGATACATATAGCAATATTCTACTTAGGCTTTCACTATGTGAATTCTTAGTATTTTTAGTATGTATTTATCCTGGCAGCAATACCAAAAATTCCCCTATGATTCTCCTTCATCAGGCTGATAGCCAGCTTTCACCAGGGTTTGATTTTCCCCTACTGTAAGATAAGTGTTTCACATGCAATTAAGCAGGACTTAGGTGTACTTCAGTGGGTGAACACAATGACAGATTCCATCAGTGCCATACTCCACGTCTTGCAGAAAACTCAAGTGAATTAGAGGAGACTGATGTAAGATACAATTTATAATCATGATTTCTCCATAACCAAACAATGCTCAAACTGGGCAAGAGTGTCCACTTCCTCCAAGTTAGAAGTCAGCAAACAGCTTGTATCTTACTAGACTGCTCAGTGTTTTCATGCACAAATGCAGCATCTATATACTTAATAGATGTGCTTTTAAGAGTTTAAATACTTAAAATTAGAAATTAATCTGATCTAAGTGTTCAATGTCTTTGTGTCAAGGGAAATGAGCCAACCACTACTGGAAGTCTGTTGGGCTGGTACATCTCCAACCTTTCATTAGCTTCAAGTATTATGCAGGACAGATCTTAGGCTGATCTGGTGGTCATTTTCATGTTGTCGAGGTTCAGGTCCCACATTTAATTGCAGAAGTCAGTCAAAACTGAAATCCTACCTCTAAGCAATCTGTTAGACTACTCTGAAATATTCTGAAGAATATAATGGCTTTTCAATGAAGACCAAGTCATTGCCTGTTTGCAAAGAGAACCAGCTAACTGTATCTCATTCTTTGGTAGGTTCACGGCTTCTCTGCACAGGGAAATGGAGGAATATTCACATCACTTAGGTGACCTTGTAAATTTAGAGCAGGATGGTTTCTGCTTGTTTTTCCTTTGGGGTTTAGAAAAGAATAAGAGGATCAGAGTGATAAGGGCAAAAGGCTACTTGACCCCCACCTAAAACAGCATGGGCTTCTGGTCATGCACCAAGAAGTTCCCTGTACAACCTTACCAACACTGCAGCTGCATTCTATGCCCCAAATGGTACTGAACTTCCATAAAAACACACAAAAGGGACTTCATTTAGCTTAATGAAGTTTAGTTTAATTAAGACAACTGTGATGGTTTAACATGTCCACTTTAAGTTCGTATCTTCAGCTAGTTCCACATTTCTTATCTGCCTCAATAAATAGAAACAAGCACTTAGACTGGTGAGGTGGGAGAAATAAATATACCTTCACATCTCTTGCTCCCATCACTGCCACTGCTGCCCCAGTTGTCCCCTTTCCCTGCTCGCCTCCCTCAGCAAGCCTAATTCTCCTGCTGTAATCCCCCAAACAAGATGGCAAGGCTACAACCCCCAGGTTGTGTTGCATGAAACCTACTGCCTGAGGCAATACAGATGTGCAAAAAATGAATACTTGCAGCAACTAAGCAGCGGCAGTAATAATATAGTCATATTGCAGGGAGAGAAGGCAGCTCAGAGCCCACAAAAAGCATTTAGTGTGCAATGCTGCTGAGGCACAGCTACTGCTCTTTGCAAATCCCTGCCTGGGGGAAGAAGCTCTGCCAATCAGCTGTTGCAACTTTAGCAGGGAAAGAGGAGGGTGGCCTGATTAGCCTTGCCTAATAATTGTGTGTTTGATCCCATCATTCCCTTGATTCCTAGCATCCACCTCTCTTAAGTGTTCCCAGCTTGGCATCCTTGGCTGAAGAGGAGGACCTGTACCGAGAAGCTGGCCTGGCAAGCAGAGCAAAAGACCTGGCAGCCAGGAGACTCTGCAGCCTCTCAGCAGCTCTGCACCAACCCATGCACGCTGAAAACCTGTCCACTGCCTGGCTGTGGGTTTGAGTATGTTTCATGTACAACCAGGTGAGGATAGTAATAAACACATTCTTTTAGCTAGGTAACGCAGCCTGTTGTACTGGTTCACTCTGATGTCAAGCTAGTAAAATTAAAAACTCTGTTCCATACAGCGTGTCACAGGTTCCCTTACTTTTTGGGCTGTCTGGACTTCTTGTCGCAGCTCTTCCTTTCCCCTTTGGAGTCTTTAATCCTTCAGCAAGATACTGGTGGCCGCTTTCTCCTAGCTCCAGCCTTCGCTTTGCCTGTTAAAAAAAATGGGTGGTTTTTTTAATTGATGGTTTGTTAAGAAGAGTATTTCACTTTATCAAACATAATATTGGGGCTATAGGAAAGGTAGACAGCAGTGAACTTTTCACAGCAAGGTATCAATACAGGTTCATACCCCATAGTCATCACAAGAGAATTGATGGAGTTTTCATTTGAAAATTCAGCATTTTTTTTAAATTTGAAAAGCTGGGTGACAGTTGTATGATCTACTTCAAGTCTAGTCTGGACCTTCTTCAATATCTATGAAAGATTTCTACCCTTAACTGAAAAGTTATCAACTCAAGTAAGTAAAACAAAGAATCTCTCATGCATACGTATGCACCCACAAAGCTACACTTCTTTTGAAGAATTCCTTATATCCATTTAAGTTTGTGCACAGGTAGTATTAGTGCAAGTTACATTTTTCCTTCACCATTTGAAAGGATGGCTTTGAGAGGACCAGTAACTTCCACTAATATAAACTTTCCATCAATGAAATACATGATATCAAGAGCAGCACTGGACAACTCTTCTCCTCTGCTTCTCAACAATTTTTGTCCTCATTGAAAGCACAACCCCTGCCTTTATTTCACATTAACTAGCACATTTGTATTAAAGCTGCCTACATAAAAGCATGATGGAGCTAAAGTAGTATTAGGAAGACAATGCCTGAAAATCAGCTAAATGTTGCATTCAGGTCAAAGGAAAGCTGTGTACATTTTGAGTAATAAAAATAATGAATGAAACTTAAACTATGCAACACAAACTGCAATGAAAACCACCACCAATATGAATTTTGTTCCTAGACAGAAACACAATCTACTATCTTTGGAAACAATTCTATACCCTGCCATGTTACTCAGGTTACTGAAATCAAATCTGAGGATACTCGTTATCCTAACAATTGAAAGAACATTACCTAGGAAGACTGAGGAAAAGAAGAAAAAGAAGTTTTACGTCTAATGAAATTTAGCCAAATAACTGTTTCCAAATAACATTGTTTATTCAGTTAGGTAGAATAATTCAGAATATTTTATTTGCTTGCTCTTCAGACTTGCCCCAAAGGCTTGGATCATTTTCTGCTCCTCAGTGAAACAAGTTAAAAGATACATTCTGCTATGGTTGTAGACAGGTATTTCCATATTGTGGATTTAGCTTATATGCTTTACTTTGTGTCTGTGATCAACAGAAGGCTCTAAATAAATTAATTTATATGCATTTATTTAAGGATAGCTAACCAACATCTTTGTACTGGACTCCGTCTGCAAACCTCAAACTTATTAAACAGTGAGTTAAAGCACATGAAACTCATAAGCCTGAGGTGTAACAGTGTGCGCAGAGCACCCAAGCCACTGTTCTCTGTATTTTGTGAGGAGGAGCAAGGCGCTAATTCATTGGTCACAGAACAAATCTGAACTAACTGCATACTTCTAACCAACGCAGGCACCGGGCTCCCAGCAGCCCGTTGGTGGCAGCTTTTAATGCCATGAAACACCTCTGCTCCTCTCCATGAGACATCAGCTCTGTAATCCAAGGACACAGATTCTAAAAAGGTCAACTGTTAACAAAAGCATCCAGCTAATATGTTTAGCCAACTTAATTGGATTAAATTAAGATTACAGCTATTCCACAGGGAGAAATACATTTCACACTTTTTTTAAAGTAAGTGTTTTTCCACCCTGAGAACTATAAGAGAAAAGGAAGGAGGGGTGAAAAGGGAACAATTCAGGGCGTGGGAAGACTAGGCCAAAGGGATACAATTAAAGATAAAAGAGAATCTCAAAACCAGGTGTGAGAAGGAGGGGAAATGCTAAAGACTTAAAATCCAGAGATTTGCAGCAGCTCTCTCCATCAGAAGAGAAACTTTGGTTTGGGCTACACATCAAACCTTTTTGTCTCAACTTGTTTACAAGACACGAAAACCAGTATTTTGCCCCTGCATTTCTGGTTAAACACTTACAACTTTCTCCTGCAAACTTCAAATAATCAGATTTGGTCGTGGGAAAACACAAACAGCATCCTTTGGCCACGCACAGCACACAAGCCCCTCCATGCATGCTGGGGGTGTTTAAGAGAGCTTGGTGAAGTTTAAGATTGCTTGGTGAAGGCAATTTGAACAAACCCTGGGGAATGTTTCATTTCTGGCCAGATGTTACACGTCACTCAGCAAGTGCACTCTTCCCCTTCCTGTTTTACAAACTGATAAAATGCAGGACCGAAGTGGTGTATTCTTTTAATTTATTCTTCCCTGATTTACAGACCAAAGATTTTCTAGTGCCTTTTCTTTGCGCTAGAGATCCTAGGTTAATCACAGTTTCTCTCTCTCGTCTCCAAAATTATTCATAGTGCTTTCTGATACCAGATTTCCCTTCAGAAATCTCAAAATCTGCATTAACGATCAGCAGAATCAGTGGCCCTTTTTAAAAAAAAAAAAAATCCCTCTTGATTTGCATAATTTATTTCTGCTCCAGCACTATATTCATTATTTGCGCTATTTGTACAAATTTGTATAATTTGTCTTTACTTGCATTGTTTGATCAATCATGGCATGCAGAATCCTCTGACAAAGTATGTGCAACCTGCTAAGAAGTAGCAGGCCAAAGGACACCAGCACAAAGCATCCCAATGACAGGGAAAGATAGAAAGCATATGGATTAAGAACTTCCCACCTATGTGAAACCTGAGTGTGATAAACAAAAGCCAGATACCTCAGAGGGAACGTGAAAGGATCACAAAACACACGGGGCAATGGGACGGGTAAAGCCACAAATTGATACATGCAGCAAGAGACATAAAGTAACAGGAAAGCTTCCTATTGAGCTGAACCAGACACCTACCTAATCCCTTGGTGAAGACATAAGAAATGTGACATCGACTGTTTTGACTCAATTTTCTCTTCCAATACTATGAGCAATTCCTGATTTAGATACAACTACAGATCCACTGTTCAGTGCAGACCACTAAAACCAGGTAGTACCCTGATTCCTATGTATTATTTATGCCCTTTTAGATTTGATCCCTTTTTTTTTTAAAAAAAAAAAAAAGAAACCAAGATAGCTACCACAATTAACATCAGAGGCAAACCCACAAGAATGTCTTCATAAGAACACTTGCCTCTAGAGGAAAATAGTTTAGAAAACTCCTAGGATAAGCTAAGTGTTTTCAAGTAGGCAGGACCTGATGCAATTTATTTTACAATCAATCTCAGCAATTAACTTTTAAAAAGAGGTTGGAGGCAGATATGCTTACAGAAGACTAGAAAAATGAATTGGAAAAAATACAGATGGAAAAGGTGTAAACAGGAAACTATAGTCCATACCCCTTAATGGGTTGTTTTGACTACACCGTTACCTGGGTCTAACAGGTCACTGCTATCATGTCTTCTCCCACATCCTCCCTCCAATCCTGTGCTCTGCCTGCTGCCCTAGTGCAGGCAGCACGGGACCAATGGGTCCTCATCAGGCCCCGCAGGGAGTGAGTTCAAGGGCTGATAACCAGAAGAAACGTAGCCCTCCAAAACAGAAATTATTTTCTGCCTGGTTATCCCTTGTGGGGATGTCCATGCTGAGCACTGCCGAGCAGGAGCACTGGGACATCCCCCATGTCCCTTGGGGCAAGTGGCTTCAGTTCTTGGGGAAAGAAACTGGCACCAATTTAAAAAAAAAAAAAAGTCAGAGTGTTACTTTTTAAGAGCATAATAGTGCTAAGCATTAGGTAACAGCCAGCACAGGGCTTTGCCAAGACAGCAGAGAGGGAAGTGCCATGGTGGGAGACAGCCAGCATCAGTTTTTGAAGACTGCACCATGTCAACCAAGAGCCTCATTTTCTACAAGGATTATATTTCTACGTTTGAGGGAAGAAGCAGTAAAACATCCTCTAATTCTTTCCAATGATAAAACCATGGAGCATAACTTTGCCAAACTATGCACATTGAAATTTTCCTGCTAGTTGTCTCAGCTTCATTACTGGATACAAGACCGTTGCACTGTTTGCAAAAGAGAGACCTAAGAAAAATTACATTACCTGTGCTATCTTTTGAAAACCCTTTGTCTGAAATATTCCTGCAACCAGTAAGCTTAAGCAGGCAAGTAAAATTTGACAGAAGGATGATCTGAGTTGGACATATTCTACTCCCTCAAAATCACAAACTTAGAAGCATTTGGAAAAGTGAAGTCAGTACGCTTTCATTACAAGCATCAAGAGCCAAATTCCATTTCATACTTCAAGTGCCATAGCCCTTGGGCCTGCCCAAAGCTACACACATGCCATCTCCTGGGAGGTCCTGTCTAGGACAGGACACATCTAAGGCCCCTGCTCCCCTAACAGGCATTCAGGATATATTAGAACAGCAGCAGTCTGATTTAAATACAAAGGGACAAAAGTTTAACTGAGAATGAGAGTGAAAGTAACCTGGGAACAAAGCCTGCTGAGATGGTGACAGAAGATAAAATAACTTTACTCAAAAAAACGGGATGAAGAGCTGGAAAGAAACTCCAGATTAGGGTTGACCGGGCATGAAAAATAGGAAGATTGGAAATGACCAGGCATAGCATGGAAGAAACTGTGTGTATTAAGTGATAGCTGATGGTGAACTAAGCAGAAAGCCAGAGAAATGCGTCTTAGCGCTCAGCTGTGTCTCTCAGTAAGCACTAAGCTGGGCAAGTTAAGCAAGGGCAGATGACTAAGCCTGGCATAGACTCTAGAAGATATTACAATTGCTAGGGGCAGATAAAATGGCAGCTTTTCTGTGTGTCACCACAATGCTGATATTACTGGGGAGGGGATGCAAGCCTATTCAGAGAGCACAGATAAATTTTGACCGCAGCGAGGAAGCCATAGCACAGATGCTTTACCAATCCCCATTCACTTTCCACAGGCTTTCTTCCACATTTTCAAAATTAAGCAGTCACTTAAAAATACAATTTAAAAGCTTAGGTTCTGAGACATGAACTCTCCAAAGCTGTTCCAGAGGTCAGGAGCTGCAGAGAAGAAAGCAAACATCTCACATGAAAAGGTAAATTAAGCCGGAGCTTGATGAAGAAGAAATACAAAAGAAGCATAGAAAAAAAAAAAAAAACAACCAAAAAACAAACCACCTTGGGCTGAAGGGCTGAATGCACAGAAATATTCATACACTAAGGAAATTTCTCCACTGAACGAAATGACACAGACTCTGCATTTTGAACATGCTCAAATGAACAAACTCTGGTATGTGGAGAGTCCTGAGTGATTGCCAGAGGGCTGCACCCAGCTGAGGGCACAGCAAACACTACAGCTAACACCAAGAGACCTAAAAATGGGGAGAGATGCAGAGAGAAAAGCAGAGGAGCTCCCAGCAAGAATGGGGCTGAGTTCTGCTGATCAGCTCACAAGCAAATAAACACTTAAGGTCAACAAAAAGATACAGGAAGACTATCAGAGTTCCTGCCTTCGGACTCGTAGTGTGACTCCTCATTTCATACCTATTTCTGTTGAGCAATGAGGAGACAAATCTGCAGTTCAAACTCCTGGAAGGGAGAGGGATTTCAGTTTTCCATGAAGAAAAGGAAAGTGGCCTACATGCAGAAACCAATGATTTGTACTGAGACCATGGTTTCAGTAGTTAATTCTGACAGTATAAAACCATTAAAAGGGGTTTAAGAAAAGAATAGGAAGATAAATAAATAGTTGGGAATTAAACTACTTGCACATAAAAGACAATAAACTGAGTATTTCCTTAAAAGGGGAGTTCTAAAAGTCCTCTCAACTCTTTCCAAAAATATTACTTCTCTGTCAAAAGTATGCATTCCCATACTACCCTATACAGAGGAACAAGACCAGGAATGGCACTTTAATGAAAACATGACCTCAGAATTAAGTTTTAGCCCATTCATGAGACCAAGGTAAAAGTATATAAAAAGATACACAAAAATAGCACCTTGAATATTGAATACATTGAAAAATCAACACAAAGAAGAGCAGGAGTCTGAAATATTGCTACTTATTAGTCAGGATTATTAGTTAAGTGATAAGCAGCTGGTATTTAAAGTAACATTTAAAGAAGCATTTTAAAGCAAATGAAAATACAGCTTAAAGAATCATCCCGATCAACCTACTACAACACAAAAGCCCCAAACTTTCTTCTTAGAAAATGGCAGCTGTACTATAAAGAGGGGGGAAAAAAAAAATCCTTTCTACTATACCAATTTGTGTTTCCTAAACTATCATTTTATTTTTCATCTTATCAATTATCAGCTTATTATAGTTTTGACTAAGGGAAATTCTTCTCTAGCTCCTATATTGAAATTACTCATTCAGATACAGTTTGTTTTTACTGTAGAAAAATATTAAAAGAAAATCCCTTTTGTATGTCTTTATCAGGTTTACAATTCATTAAGAGGCACCTCACAGCTATCAAATTAAACTATGTTCTGATCATCTGCAGCCCCCTCCTCATTAGGCATTTGACCCCAAGAGCTGAAAGATGATAGTGTTACTCTGGTGAAGTTTCTTTCAAGGCTAACTAAACCATCCTATTTCCCTC